CCAACGGGCAGTCTTTAAAATCATTCATTCCAAAAAAAATAATACAGTTTCAAGTTGAAAATAGTTAAAAATGGCTCTCCTGAACAATTTGATATTTTGAGATAGGACCTTTTGGATCTAGGCCACGAATTTGACGTTGTAGAAATCATTACTTTATTTTCCTTTTCAGGCGCCTGGGTGGATTACCTGTAATTTGTTTGGATGAAAGTTGAGTAATTATAGGATTTGAGTGGGTGCTGAATGTTTTGTGAGTTTTTTTGTAGCTGATCATAGCAAGATTATTTAAGTTTGGAATGCGGATGTCTTTGTGAAGTGATTCATTAGTTATATACCAGGGGGAACCTGATATTATAATCTAACAATAATTTAAACGCCAAAACTGTAAATTAATATTATGATTATTTGACGATATCGCGTTTTATCACTCAATTATATTAAGTTTAAGTACGTGACTGATGTTTACAATTTATAAATGTATAGATTATACCAGAAAATGAGATTTTAACCAAGTCCAAGGCCCGGATAAGACATTTTGCGCCCAAGGGCAAAAAGTTTTTAAAAGCGTCCCCTGCACGAAAAAAAAAAATAATAGTTTATTATGAACATTATGTTTATAATGTATATATAATTATTTATATTAGGTTACCTTTTATACTAATATTTATAGATATTTAGATACTTGGCATAAATAATGAATAATGTTATCAATATATTTATAAGCTTTTTTTCTTAGCTAATTAAGAATCATCGATTTTTTTAGGTGTGATTTATGCAGTGTACACCACTAATATTGGCACTTGTCAGACTTCTTGAAAATATAATTTATACCTATTTTATACCACAATTATATTATGTACGATTAAGTACTACAGTTGTCAGTCATATTGCATATTAATTTCATCATATTGTTATTGTAAATGTAAATCAAGCAACCGTGTATTTCTGTGACATAACCTAACCCTTATACCTATAATAATATAAGGGCGGCCAAAGCACTGTGTGATAACTGCTAAACTGCATATCGTATTGTACTATTGTCTAGTCATGTTCAATCAGTTGTGCAAGTGTGCAACTATCGAGTGTTGGGTCACAGAGTAGATGAAATAGGTATTTCATCTATTATGTGGTTGGGTGTGCAATTCACAGGGTCCCCCGGTCTTTTTTTGTGGGGGGGAGCAAGATCTCGTATACGATATTCCAAATATAATCTGTAATATTCACATATCATATTATTTGTTTTGATAACATAACAATAAATAATCATGTCTATTTACTCATTTGAGTTTAGAGAAATAAAATAATAGTAGGTGAAAATATGAGAGAAAATGGCTAGAAACATTATGTGTACAATTATTTATAACTAATAAATATTAACTATGGCATGTGAGAAAACAATATTTTTTAGAGTTATAAATAGATATGATTGTTTTTCATTTTTATTAGCAGGTAAGGGCCCGGGCGTCACTCTAAAAATGTTCACATTGTCCCCTCATTATTAATACGTTGGGCCACTGTTCATGTTTATTGTTTATTTCGTCGGCATAGAACTTAGGTACATTGTTAGAAGACATTTTAACTTTCATATACTTAGATAATATTATGTGTCTTACTGTTTTAGTGAAAATAGCTTAGAATTTATTAGTTCATTGACATATTTTTAATGGTTTGGTTATAAATTCAAAAATTTTAAAAAAGATTTAGTATGTACACAGTTTTTATGTGTATTACGAATCGAGGTAAAAAAGTCCTTGGAAAAAAAGTTTGGGTAAAAAAGTCCAGTACCTATACAATATATAATACAACAACATTTAAAATAATCATTTTAAAAAAGTTCAATGATTATAATAAATTAATATCATTACCTAGGTATATAAAAAAAACAAAATTATTGTTCATACAAAAAAATATACATAATAATTTATATTATAATGATTTCTCAGTTTAATAAATTATTTAGTATCGTCATATAAAACAATATAATATATTTAAAATAAAATTCAATAATTGTAATTTTTATCTAGGTCTTGTTGTAATAATATGATTTATCATTTTAATTAACTATCGTCAAATAAAAATAATAGGTACCTAAAATTTAAAAAAAATTACAATTAGTTACAATTCACATTAATAATAATATTGGAACTTATTAGTTTCAAGTAATATACAAACCGCGGCCAGTGACCTTTGTATTCGAGGCCTTGTACGTAAAAAATAAAAAAATAATTTTTGCATCACAACGAAGTTTTCTTTTACCTAATTAGTAATTATATGTAAGTACAAGACTTCTTCACCACGAACTTTTTATGCTTCGGACTTTCCTACCATTGACTTTTTAACTACGGACTTATAATGACTAAATTAAATTTCTATACATCCTCTTAACAGTAACTTAACAAATAACTAATAGTTTACATTGTAACTTATAATAAACATGATTGGTTTAGGTTAGATCATGAGGGCCAAGCAGTGTGCAAATAGTTCAGCCCTTAGATAGCGATACCACAATCAAAAAAAAAGGTTAGGTTAATTAAATTTAACAGAAACTAATTTATTTTTAAAATGTAACTTATATTATTTGAAAACCCATTAGCATTTGGTATTTTTCAGAAATACAAAAAAAATCTACCTATCTAACCTTAGTAGTCGTTGTACTTTTTTTTTACTATATCTATCTATAATAATGTTGTGTAATTGTTTTTCAATACTTAAAAATATTTAACAATACAGTACATATATATACCTACCCACATATTTAATCTTTTATGCAAACTATAAATATAAGTATCATAACTAGGTAGGTACTATAATAACATTATTCTATGGCTTTTTAACTTGATGCGATAACTTCAAATGACCTTTTTGTGTAAATAGCCTACGAGTGTATTAGAGTGATCACAACATTTGAACCTTTGAGATTTGTATAATATATAGGCATCATATACTATACTATATTGGTACCTACCTACCCAATGTTATCATTGTTAACTAATAACTATTATAGGTACATTTTAATTAAAACAACCAGATAACATAATAGGAATAGTAATTTTAACCTTATGACTTTTACCCATGATAAATCTACACATATTTATATATATAAATAAAGATAATTACAAGTTACATGTATGAGATATATTATAACATATAATGATTAGATACATCGCATATACAGCATGATTAGTGATGACGTATTGACGTAATACGCCTATCATTTATATAATATACCGTGTGTCATCAAAAATAAGGTACACTCATCTTTAAATTATTTCATATATATAATATATTACTCTGTAGGTACCCTATACCGGTCTATACATATTTTTGAATTCTGTTTGACGGACAATGGACATGTAACTAGACTATTGGATCATAAATTCCTATAGCTTACAAATTATTGTTAACTCTTGTATGCGCAACAACTGGTAACTTAACAAGGACACACATTATAAAAAAAATAATAATATTAGTAGGTATAACTGTATAAGTGTACTATTATACCTAAAACCTTTATGCTATATGGCAATATAGTAAATTAGTACCTACCTACCAATCTACCCAAATAATATATACACATTCTATATAGGTCATAAGTATGGTTCGAAGTATATATAGCACTTATAATCATCAAAATAAGCGCTGAAAAAAGCATTTAAAAAAATTAAAAGCAAAACAAAGCGCAACAAAAAATATCAACACAATTGTCTCTATATTATCGTTAAGTTTTTATATTTAAAGTAAAAAAATTTCATCTTTAAAAAATCAAAAACATTTAATTTTTTTTATTATACTTCCTATAGATTTTCTCAAAAATAAATTTAAAACTGTTTAAGAATAACTGAAAAAAAATTGATTAATTTGGCCGGTTAGTAGATAAGCGAGCAAATACAAGTCGGGGGTGTTTATTCGGTAGGTACATAAGTACCTATACTAGATAATATGACATAAAGGAGAAAAATTATTTTTAGTTCTAGGTTTACCTTAAAGTTGGTTTAAATATAAACAAAATTCGCAATTAATGCTCCAAGTCCCTGGTAATAAGTAATACCTAACTAACATAACTAATAGGTATGTATAATAGGTAAGTGCTTTATGCCTTACTGTGCACACCAAAGCGGTTTTATTCTATGTATCTACATGGCTACATATAGTATTTCTAAAGCTTTGTTTATCACCATAGAAACGAATAACAAATTATAATATTATAATATCAATTTAACTTACAGGCTATAATAAATAGTAACAATATAAAATATCCAGACTGACAAACAGTCTCCGCTCAGAATCGTTTTTCTTATACAATGATATTATATCATTGAATTCAAGTTTAATACAATCTATTATACATTGACCCACTTGTAACCTATAAGGCACAGCAAAGCGACATCCACCTACCCGCTTTTTTAAGTTTTGTGTTCTTTTGAGGGACAACATACATATTTGGTTTCATATTCCGTAGCAGAATATTATTGGGAGTATTTTTAACGACTTAAAATTATGTAAAAAAATATTTTCAAAAACTTAAGTCATTTTTGAAATAATGACAATTACGTTAAACGGTTTACCAGATAAGTATAGAAATATGATATATATCTATCGACTATCTATGATTTACTTATTGATGTAGGTAAAAATAATTATATAATATTATAATATTGACATAAATATTGTTAATTGGTAATTTGTTCAATAAAATATTATCATTATTATTTTTATTTACTACCTTTATGTGGCTAGATACACATAATTATAGGTAGGAGGTACTATCTATACAATCGTTTATGCTAATGACGCGTGTTTACTGATTATTTATAAGTATTCCAAAGTACAAATAAATATATGTTTAATTACATTACAGGGAGGTAGGTAATTGTTAAGTACCTATATAAGTTAGAAACTTGGTGCCGAGTCGGCCACTTGCACTAATTTTCGGTAGACATTTTATTGGTCAGTAAACCTATAGGATTTATTGCCAACATTTGTATATCAACTATAATATTATAATGGTATCTATTTCTTTTTTTTACTACGCTTGACTACATACCTACCTATATTATGTACTTTCGAATTTTATACTTACGATTTGTTATATTCTCTACATAAATATATTATATTTTAAGTTAAATATGTGTATCAATAGTATATACTAATATAAATTAACATAAAAAAATACAATTTTAGGTAAAAAATAAAATCGCTATGCTAGATGTATCAGAACTATTGAGACCAGAGCCAGCATTTGCATCCAAACCTATTGGACGATACAGGGACTATGACATAGACCACGAGGATCCTATTAAGGAAAGAGTGAGGATCACATACACAGAGATGCATACGAATCAAACAGTAGATTACGTAAAAAGTAAGTCTTATTAAGTTATTAGCCTTTAGTATAGGTAGTAGTAAAAACACTCAAATTTAATGATGGTTTCTGGTAGTAAATTGGGTCTAGTTGGTACTTCCGGAGGGCAAAAGTAAAATATTCCTAGTCGGTGCTTTCAAAATTACGAAACAACGAGGATATTTACTCAATAATTTTGACAAATCGATTATTTTATTTTAATTTACATAGCTAAGGAATAAGTTATAAGTAATAACCATTAAGTTCAAAAGTTCCACATAAGTTATAATATTCTAACAGAAATGTTAAAATATCAACTATCAAGAATACATAATTAATAATTATATTTTTTTATAGACGCTACAGATATTTTAAGTTCAAAACTTAACGAAATTAGATATTTAAACAAAAATAATGATTTTAGTTATTAATTATTATGTTATTAATAAAATATTTCTAATTCAATAATTTATGTTAATCATAGGGAACATTTTTCTATTACGTATGTATTGTTATTTTCTATATATATGTGTGTTGCAATGTAACTTGTCATTTTCAACAATATTGAGACTAATTTTTAAAAAAAACTATTCTTTCGAATTTTTATTTTAATACTTCAATATTTTCAGAAAAATTATCTGCAAATTAATTGCGAGGGGGGTGTATGATTTTAAAAACAGAAGTCTATAAGACACTATTATGTAGTAACAAAAAATCTCAAGAATTATAAAATAATATAGGTAGGTTATTTAGGTAGGTATAGGTTAGGTTATCATATTAATTATATACCAAAAATCTGATTTTGAATAACTCGATAGTTAAAGAAAGGCTTAAAGTACCTACATTAAATTGTCAGTTGCATTATAATTTATAATATTAAATATGAATCATAACTTAGGTGTTAGGTACCTATGTCCTATTCCCGTTGGCCCAAGCATAGCATACAATTATTATAATACGAATTACGAGAATTTTCCCATCGAAGTCATCGTAAAACCTAATAAAATATCATAAGTATACTGATTTCAGATTTGTACATATGGGAACCAATATTTGTACACTTTATAGTTTATTTGATATTTTGACCAATGACCCGGGAACTAATTTCGTATCTATTATCAAGAATTAAAACGGCTATGTTACCCTTACTTAACCTACCTATTTATTGGGAACATTAATTATATGACTATATGTCTATATTATATTATTATTTAATATTTATTATGAATACCTACGTAGTCATATATTACTGCAGCTATTTTATAATTTTTACAAAATATTACCTATATTTATATTATCAAGTAAAATATTTATTTATATTCATAATCTATACCTATGTCAAACTAATAGTATACTTAATAGGGATACAGAGTGTAACTTAAATACCTGACCAATAAAAATAAAAGCTTGATACTAGTTAAATATACCTAGTACCTACCTACGTATCACAAAAATTATGAAAACTATATGGATAATAAATAATTTAAGAATATATACCTATATATTATAATACCTATAGGTACGTCAGGAAATTCCCAAAAACATATTTTTGAAAAATGTATTACGTTTAAAACTAATTTACTCCAAAAAAAAATATAAATATTTAAAATTTAAATTTAACTTTAAATTTATGTCAATTGAAATTTACTGCCAATACTCTCGGCTCAATAAAAATGTTAATTGTTTTATTTTACAACACATTTGTAACGAAGAAAAGATGGCTGAATGGTTGTCTTTTGATAAATTTGAGGCGACTATTATGGAAGCATTGGAATCGCTCAACGATTTAGTGGACGAAAGCGATCCCGACGTAAATATTCCCAACATCGTTCACGCATTTCAAACTGCCGAACGTATACGCGCCATTCATCCACATCATGACTGGTTTCATTTGGTTGGTCTGATACACGATTTAGGAAAAGTGAGTAAGCAGTACCTAAACGTGCATTTAAATTATTAAGTATTTTAATATCGATTCAAAAAAAAAAAAATCTAAAGCAGTTATTAGGTGTGTGAATGTTCATAACAAAAAATAACGAACTAGTATAATACATATAGGTACCTCTATTTTATATAAACAAACAATATAGATAATAGTGTAATACTATAATATATACTAGCCAGGCAATGCCATTGATTGATTTTTATTTGGGTAATATTTGTTCACAAACGCATACTTTTTTCCTTTGTACCTATTTAGGTGATGGCTTTCAAAGGTGAACCTCAGTGGAGTGTGGTTGGCGATACATTTCCTGTTGGATGTGCATGGGCAAATTCTATAGTCTACAAAGACACCACGTTTAAAAAGAACCCAGACACGTATGACCCGAGATACAAGTAATCTTACTATTTAATTTATTAAAACGAATCCAGAGCCAAATTAATACTATCGTATTTTCAGCACCACATTAGGTATTTATTCGAAAAATTGTGGACTGGACAATATCTTGATGTCTTGGGGACATGATGAATACTTATACAGAGTCTTGGTACACAACAATACAACAATACCCAAAGAAGGACTAAATATGATTAGGTAATAACTAATTACTTATTATGTCGATTAATTATTTTCGGTGTATATTCAACTTTTAGGTATTTAATTTGTTTTTTATAATTAGTAATAATATATATATTGGATTATAGATTCCATTCGTTTTACCCATGGCATTCTGGTGGTGACTATGACTTTTTATGCTCTGAAGATGATTTGGAAATGAAGAAATGGGTCTTAGAATTTAAGTAAGTGGATATATTTTAAATGAGACTTAAATATTCAATTGAAAAGGTTTCTGTCTTTTTCCATCTTGTGTATGCTAAAGGCACTTAATAAATACTTAATTATATACTCTGTGCTAAAGTTAATATATTTATAGTGTTTTGAAAATTAGTTAAAAAAATAGATAATGTATATTATATATTATAAATTCAAACTCTAGTGGATACATACAATATCAACCTTCTAATCGATAGAAATCAGTAAATTTTAAGTGTGAGAAAATATGTATTTGAAGGAGAACAAATAATTGTTTATTATGTAATGGTCATGACGTAATCATTTTGCAACAATTAATTAATAGCTTTTAGTTGTAAGTAATCAAAATAAATTCAGAAAATTCCTTGTCTCACTCTGTATTTAATACAAAAATGAACCAATTATTATGAAAAATTAATCTTTTTTTCTTTTTTATTTTTAGTAAATTTGATTTATATACTAAAGGAGGTGACATGCCAGATATAAAAGAATTGATGCCATATTATCAAACATTGATTGACAAATACATTCCAGGATTAATTAAGTGGTAAAGGTCAATAAGTCAAAAAGGTGTTTGCAAAAGTTCAAAAAAAAAAAAAAAAATAATAACATTCTAATAATTGTATTTTGTTCTATATACATAATTCAAATTTATAAATGTATATTTTAATAATAAAAATAATAAATGTAACATTATTGTTTTATATATAGTTATTAATATATTTTGTATTAAAATTGTCTGTTCATAAATTGGTTGCCTGGCATAGGCATATTAATGGGTACATTTGGATATGGCATTGAAGTAGGTTGGAAATAAAATGAATTTGGGTATCCAGGTTGTGGATATCCTGCTGTTGTTTGTTGAATGTTATTGATTGGTGGTGGTCTGTAGGAATTATTACGTCTACTTAGCAATTCAGACATTTTATCTGCTTTAGCCTTACGCATGTGCATATCCTTACGTCGCTTCAAGAACTCTTCTAAAAAGCCTTCTAAGTCAGTGTTGCCACTTAAAAATTTTTCAGCCAATTTCTAAAGTAACAAAAAAAAAATGTTTTCAAATATTTATTTTGTAACTATTTTATGTAATTTATACTTACATCTGATTCTTCTTCAGTTTCACAAGAAGCAGTTTGCAACAAGGCTAATATAGTTTCTGGATTCATACTACCCTTGTGTTGTTCTAAAAATATAGTTTTAATAACTTATTAAAAGATATTCAGCAAAAATAATAATTTAAATAGGCAACTATTTATTTAAGTAGTATTTAATAGATTTCAATTTTAATAGAAAATAAAAAAATAACTAAATTAAAATGTATGTATTTTCAATTTATTTTTAGCTCCTTGGTGTATTGAACATTTTTATTATTTAATAATAATATATTAATATTACACGGAAAATAAATTATGAACAATATTAAAAACTATATTTATTTGGATATAGTTCATTGTATTTAATTAAAATTATTTTAAGTATGCATTTTTTTACTACCTATATTTCATATTCTTTAAAGTAAAAATATCTAAGCCTAGTTTAATAAGTAATAATCTTTTGTGAGAATCACACTATCACATTAATGTAATTATATATGTATTAAACATGTATCTCGAGATACTTTGAAATTTAAAATTTAAACTCATAGACCTTTTACTAATAGACCAGCCCTCTTCACGTTTCCACCAAGTCAAGATAGATTAAGTTCTTTTCGGTTACTGAGTTACTCTGTTACGGTAAGAAATATTATATATTCATACTTTATATTTATACTAAACGGGCTGTATCACTGCACCATGTTGGCGTGACTATCAATGCATTTGCTATAGGATGGGCTGGTCTCTAAGTAAAAGGTCTATGTTTAAACTAAAAATGTCAGAGTATTAACATCATAAAAAATTAAATGGACAAGGTTTTTGAGTTTATCATACATATTTCAATATTAAAAAGAGTGTGTTTCTTCATTTATTTTGTAGCTAGGTTCCTACTTATACGGTAAAATTGAAAATTTGTCTTATTCACAAAATAAAAACAATGTCACCCATAACTTTGAGTTATTGCAATAAACTATGTATAAATCAATCTATCATTACATTATTTGCAATAAAAAACAAATCAATTGAAAAAAAAACATAATATAGTCAAGGTAGCTGTTTAATAAAATATTCAACAAATTGTATATCAAAAAAATTGTATACAACAGAAATTGATATAGGTATACTATTATGTTCATATTCTCTAATGTCACCTAGTTGAAATTGGTTACCTATAAATTTGTTACTGGTTGCAAAATTATATTAATGGTATACAAAGGTCATAAATCAAATCAATATTAGTTCAATATTTCTAAAACAAGTTGAGTAAATATTATTCTGATTTATATTTTTATAGGGATATACAAATCTAAATATATATTTAGAAATCTCAAAAACCTGGTTTGGTATTTAATGTAATGACTAATGATACACAATATTTAGAAATAAAGTTAAGCTATCACATACCAACTCCTCATAAAATCTTTATATTGTTTATACTGCATTTAAAAAAAAATTGTATTTATTACTTTTAATAAAATTCGAGTAAAAAATTAACTCTTTTAAAATATAATAGAATTGTAGTGTGCAGAGTTAAAATATAATAACAATGATTACATTACACTTTATTCAAAATAATAATAGTGAGTTAATGTAAAAACTAAGAAGTATTTAGCAAGATGCGAGTTATCTATTTAAATTTAACTCTTAATTGTTTATTATACAATTACTAGAGAACCTGATTTATAAATAATGAATTACCTAATATTGAATTAATACTTTTTCTCATTATTTAAATTTGATTGGTATGATGAAATTAAAAATAATAAAGATTAAAATTACTGAGGAGCTAGACGACTTATAATCGAGCCGGAGGGCCAAATTTCCTATAGGTACTTAATAATTCTAGGAGGAACTAATTGTACCATCTAATATTTAGATAACTAAATGTCCATGAATTTATTTTGTTATGAGGCTGAAACAGCCTATATTTTATATTAACACATACAGTAACATAACATTTTAAAAGAAAAAATGTAATTTATCAAGATTAACTATAAAAATCAAACTATTGAAAAACTCCATTCAAAGTTAAGGGATAACTTCGTACTTATGAGCATTGTGGTTAATTTTCCCTATTTTTGTTTACAAAACAAAAATTATTTGCAAGTAATATTACACTTAATTTATTATAGAACTCTTTAAAGTTAAAATAATTATACTTACTTAGAGTATTTACTTTCTCTGTAACACTTTTATATAGTTTTTCTGCTTCCTCGTACATTTCACATAATCTTTCTTTACCACTAACTAAATCTGGTTCTTTAGTAAGATTAAATTCGGCCAAAGATTGATTACTTGCTATTAACATTTCTTTTTCAGTATCTTTTTCTTTGTCCTAAAATTCATGTTTTTTTAAAAATATTAATCATCTTCAAACGATTATTACAAATTTTCTAAATCATAATTACTTACCGGTTTTAGTTCTTTAGCATACACTTCAAACTTGCTATCGTCATTTAGTATTTCTTTGAGATCTGAAGCAGTTAAATGAGACATCAGCCCCATCACTGTACTTACAGCTGTTGAACTATTAAACATGATTTACTGAGACATTCGAGTGTAAAATATAAATATTATATACAGATTTCAAATCATGTAAATAAATATATATATATATAAATGAAGATACGACAACAAGAATAATTCTATGGGCGAATAAAACTACGAATAATGAATAATAATAAGAGTAAATTCATTGAAAAATTATCTCAATGAATGACGAAGTATTGAAGATTGACTGGGTTGTCAAGTTGATAAAATGATAACAAACTTCGGTAAACAAAGTAAAAAAAATAACATCTGACCGATTTCAGCCGAATGAGCAGATTAGCAGCATTATTTAATATATTTTATATTATCTATGAGGACATTCCCGAGCCACGATTGTAAAAAAAATTAAAGAAGTTTTTATCAAGGACTGTCTAGTCTTCATGACGACGCGCGAAGTTTTGGCCGACATTCTATTAGTCAATAAAAATTAGATTTTAAAATTTTGAAATGTATTTGTTTAGAGACAAAATAAAAATGTTGTCCTTTTGGGCTGTGGCAGCATAGTATAATAGGCCAATGAATGGCAGTAGTGGAACAGAAATCGAATAACAGATTTACAATGAATATAAATATCTATGAAATCCTTTGATCATAATATTATCACAAAAACTGTGATAATACTACATAAGTACAAAACATTACTATATACCCGTGGTAAAGTTTATATTTCATAGTAAGTTAAGGCCCATTTTAAAGTTAAATTATAGTCTAATTAGTAATTAAAAGTTTTCCAAATTAATGGTCCTAAATTTAAAACACTGCATTCAAAATTTAATAGTGAATACTCAAAATCTATACGTAGTTTTACCAATTCCGTACATTTTAATATAATGATTTTTAAAACATGTAAAGTAATTTTAAATTCAAGTAAAAGTTTAATTTTTAGATTCAACTCTAATTTCGTACCAAAACACATGCCCGTGCAATCGTCAGATGCAAACACTCTTGATCGTTTCATTAAAGAACATAAAAAAATCCTTGTATTAACTGGTAGAGTGTATCATAAATGGTTGATTTAATTATTGTAATGGTATTCGTTTAACACAGGTGCAGGAATATCAACTGAAAGTGGTATACCTGATTATCGTTCTGCCGATGTCGGGTTGTACGCAAGAAGTAAAAACCGCCCGGTAATATATCAACAATTTATTAAAAATCCAGAAGTACGTGTACGTTATTGGGCTAGAAACTATGTGGGATGGCCTAGATTTTCATCAATGTCGCCTAATTATGCGCATAAGTTTTTAAAGAATTTGGAAGATAAAAATAAAATTGTTCATATAATTACTCAAAATGTCGATAAATTGCATACAAAAGCTGGAAGTAAAAATGTTCTTGAATTGCACGGAACTGCATATGTTGTACATTGTTTAGAATGTGATTATACAATCGATAGACACAAATTTCAAGATGTTTTGTCAAGTTTAAACCCTCAAGTTTCCATTAAAGAATTGTACAGTGTCAGGCCTGATGGCGATGTTGAACTCACTCCAGTAAGTAAATATTCCAATTTTATTTTCTAAAAACATGCATTAAAACATTTTTTCATTTAGAACATAATAATAGGTTTATTGTCATATATTGTATAGAAGGATTTTTTAAGCTACACAACTGTAATACACTTGTGATGCAGGAAATAGATATTAAAAAACAAATTATTTATCATTATTTTCTATTGCAGTGTAATTTACTTATTAGTTATTTGTAGTTAAAGCTGTTTGAAAAAAATTTTCTTTTCAAAATCACAATAAAACTTGACCTAAAATTACTAATTATTGTAACAGATTAAATGGATTACTCGATTCTATAGTCTATAATAATAACTAAATAAATGCTGTAACAAATTACATTTAGATTTTTAACATGGCTCATAATTTCATTAGGTATTTTAATTATAGAAAAAAAAA